TTTTTATGCCGATTGTTTATCAGCGAAAAGGGCCCAAAGGCGGGCCTCCTGGCGACGCCACGAGGAGCTGCCGGCTCGAATGCGTCACAAAGTAAACTATCTACATTCGACCAGACAAGGGAAAAGCTACTTGGTTGCATGGAGTGCTCATGGGAAATAGTCTGCCGGTACGGCTGACCATCCCACTATTGGTCTGTTTGAGTGGGTACTTTACTTGGCGTTAGTGCTTTCCATTGAGAATATTAAATCAACTGGCTCTAACTTATTGCCACGGTTAAAACAAAACGAAACAAAAACGAACAGCTGTCACAGTCTAAATGAATGATACAACTGTGTTCCCTGATCAATGAAACAATTGATAGTGCCATACTAGGTGAAACAATCAATTATTAGATGGTATTCTAATCTATGTATGTACCGCTTATCTAAGTTGGCTTTAGCACTTAGTAACAAAAGTTAGTAGAGAAACACCCTGTGCACAAATAAATAAAATGTTTTTTAAGCTATTAACACACAAAACCTTTGAATGAGGAGCAATCGTTTTTATAGCCTGATCCTTGAAAATATTTGGTCACGCTTCTTTCCGAGCCAAGTCTATGAAAAATTCTAACTCATGCTCGTGCCCTAGACTTGATCCGGATATCGGTGAAAGTATCTAGAAATGACAATCTGACTCTGGCCGATCGCTCACCGACCCGACTGCGCCTTAGACGTTATAATGTCTTCCAACTCTATTGCTCCACACTCTCGTAAAGCTACACATCGATAGAAGTCGAGAGGATATGTAAAACATTTAATTTTGAAGCAAACTGCTGTAGAAGAACTGCATGCGGGTAAACACAGACACAGATTGACAGAAATAAGAAAGAGAAGCCGCGTACCGGAGTGTCACCCGATGCGAAACGAAATGTCCTAACGGTATCGAAACGACGTTGAAAATGATCAATTGACGTTATCGTTCCGTAATCGTTTCCAGTGTCATTTCGCAATGGGCTATTCGGCAAAAGTAACGTGAGGTGCTTGCACCTTTAACTGTCCCGTGAAAAATGAAATACATACAACTGAACAAAGAAAAAAATGTGTGCCAAGCCGACGACATTCCTATAACTGTCTATCAAATGGTCGAAGAAGTACCGAAAAAGAAAGAGAAATAATATTGTACGGATATCGGAAGTAATATCGTACAGATATCCGAACGATGACTATTTCTATTGTCGCTGGATAGTTGACCATCATAAAACTATTTTTATAATGCTATTAACTTGAAGACTCAAAACCATCTCGTGAGATTATTGTTTTTCGAAGATTGGATAACCTATGCTACAGTAATACCGGAAAATAGTAAGTTTTTTCTGGCATATCGTTTGGCACAATTCTTCACGACGTTATTTACGGTATATTTTGGAATTCTGTAAATTTTTTGTTCTGGACGTTTGACGTAAATAGATATAATTTGCTGCTTTGAATATCGACTGCACTATTATCGTCAAGCATAGATTTATAAACTATCGACGTTCTGCACTTAAATACAAGGTAACGTTAATATCATTATTTGAAAACAAAATTCTTAATTTTTTCAGTAAACCACAAATACTTACTTGGCCGTGGGCGCCTCTCGGCTGGTGCGGCGCTAGCCGGCGCTCTGGGGATCCTCTTGGGCGATCGTGTTTCAGGAGCCCCTCCTGGGCCCAGCGACTGCGAGCGACCTGGTGGCACGGACAGAGGCGTTAGTGACAAGATGGTGGCCGAAGATGGTAGGCAGGGAGGCGTTCAACCACGTGGTTTTTTTCCTTGAGGGGGACGTTTCGTCTCTCCGCACTTTGTGTACATCTTACGACAAAAAAAAGAAGAATGAATGCTGTTTAATAGCCCTGCCAGAGTCCAGCCCGAAAAATCCACGTGGTTTGTGAACGAATCCCCTGTCTGAAAAAAAAAGTTGTAAGCCATAAAGCTGCGTCGCCTAGCGCCTCGCTATGCGGCCATGCCTCGCTCGAACCATGCGAGAGAATTCCAAGCAGCCCCATGCCGAGGGTAGTGCCTCCACCCCTCCTGCTTGTGGAGGTCATTTTTCTTCCCCGAATAACCGTCGCCCCGGTATGGCCGGGTGCGGCCTTTGTGTTCCGCCGAGATGACAGTAATACCGCGGCGACGTGTGCTCAGGTGCGGCACCTGCCAAGGCACCAGCTGAGGCACCTGCAGAGGCACCTGCAGAGGCACCAGCTGAGGCACCTGCAGAGGCACCTGCAGAGGCACCTGCAGAGGCACCAGCTGAGGCACCTGCTAAGGCAGGCACCCTCAGGTGTGAGTGTAAGCGGAAAGCGGCAGCAGCGAGGTGACAGGGGAAGAGCAATGGTAGCGAGGGAGGAGAAAACAGTCGCAGGAAACAAAAGGAAAAGGAAAACCACGGCGTAAATGTTTTGGCTGACTTCAAACTTGATGCGCGATTTGAACAGGCAGGAAAATGGAAAAAACAATGAACACGTGTCTAGAATCGCTGGTTTGATACACAAAATTATACTTAAAGGTAGTACGAGCGTGGTGAAATTAAATGTGTCTGAAAAGGGAAACAAAAACCGGGAGTACTTTGAAAAATTCCACACCGATTGGTTACAAATTATTCAGGGGTTACCGATACTATAAGAAAGATTTCGTCAATTGAAATTCCTCCGATTTTACCCGGAGTCTTATGGGAGAGAGTGTCTTGGTCACGGGCAATTCGAAAATTAATTAAGAAAGAAATGTGAGTATTTCCGCAAACTGGTTGAAATAGAAACATTATTAAATTACGAATGCAATGACACATTGATAACACCACCTTGCCGTTCATCTGAAAAAGATATTTAGAGTTATAAATTGATATTTTATTCACAGTCGAAATGGCGCCGACGTTAACCTCGAAATTTTTCATACGGCCACTGACGGCGTTACCCATGTTGTTATTTTATGTTTATTGTATTTAACTTTTGGACACGTGACGTTTATTCTGTGCATATTCATGCGATTCTGCTGCAATAATCGCGCCATTGTAGTGAAGGAAAATGAACGACATTGGTCTGTATTTTGTTATATGACGTTGGATGTGGACGGAGAGGTTAGGGGCCGGCCTCGTCGTCTGCCTCGCTCGTCCAAAGTCAAACTATTTTAAATTTGCATACATATTTCTCAAATGTGTCAGGAGAAGATGCGAATCAACTTAATTTAAATACATACAATTTTAGCAACGGTTTAAACTTATTTAATTTAATTTAAAATTGTCTAGAAAGTTGCTGCAAGTTTAGTCTCTAGGCTGACTAGACTGCAGCGCTCGTACTACCTTAAAACTCGACTTAAAACATTTAAAATGTTATGATTTACAAGGTCCACATATGTTTCAATTTTTTTTTTTTTTTTTTTGAGCGGCTTGGAGCATATGGATGGTGGAGGAGTGAGTCGGGCAGATGAAAGGATTTTAAGCAGTAGTCGTTCGTTAGCGTGGCGCTGCTGTGCGTGGCGGGGCGTGGTGGGGCGTGGCGGGGCGTAGCGGGGCATATGGCTTGCTAGGGCAGGCGAGAGGGCCGGGCCGGACGCGGCCCACCGCTGTCTAGTGCACCTGTCTGCGCGAGGCCGGGGGATCTCTTGGGGCTGGCCGAGGGCTCCTCTTTGCGCCGGGGGGTCACGGGCTCCAGCTTCTCGCGGGTCGGAGACAGGAGCAGGGCGCCGTCTTCTGCGCGAGCGAGGCAGGCGAGCCACACAATCAGTTGGGGTCATCATCAATCACAAATACCGTAACCAGTGGGGCTGGTCTTACGAAGAAACGCTGCTTAAAGTTTATCCCTTTTTTAGTATTTATAAAAGTGCATAGCATAATACTGTTCCACGACGATAAAAAATTAAGCAAATTAGTCACACTTAAATATATATAGTGAGCTATCAGTAAGATGGTGAGGTTGTCAATGTAAATTATTGCTCGCACACATATACACGCGGTGAAGTCTGTTGCACACGCAGGAAAGCCACGTAGAGGCTTTGGCACACTGAAAGCTCAAGTTAAGTTAGAAGAAGTGCAGTGGCACAAGAACAAAAGAGAAACCGCGAGGGTTCTGGCGAGGAAGAAAAGCTCAAGAAGAATGTCACTACAGAGACAGAGAGAGAAAGCTGACTAAGAGAAATATCTTACCTGCTCCTGTGGTCCTCTCCAAGTGATGTCTCAGAGGGAACTCTTTCCTCGATGATCTGGGTGCTCCCTCTCTCTTGTTGTCATCCAACTTCTCACTCTGTGCGCAAAAGAGGGGCATGGCAATCAATATCAAATGAATTGCATATCGGCTCTAATTAACGTCATTATAAGAGGGTGGATAACTTTCCCCCTAGCTTTGGCCCATGGGCTGTAAATAGTTTTGAGAAGAGAGTGTTTCCTGGCTGATGATTTTACCATATCATGTGATAATAACGTCGCATCAGTCCAACGTTCAACCAGGAAAACTTTACAGAGGAAACCCACGGGTACAAATGACCTGTCGTAATAACACTCACCTTGCGCGCCTTCTCGGACTTGCTGCGCTCGTGCACGCCGGGCAGCTTGGGCTGCGCCGTGTGCGGCCGCTGCTGGCGGGCCGAGGCCTGGTGGCCCGACACGCTGGCGGCCTTGGTGGGCGAGGTGCGGCGCGAGTTCTCGCGCTCCTTCTCCTCCTTGGAGATGGAGCGGGGCGAGGCGACGGCCGCGAGCGAGAGCGCCGACAGCGAGGAGCGGCGCGACACCTGCTCCCACAGCAGCATCTGCTTGCTGTACAGCTCGGCGATGTGCTCGGGCGCCAGCTCCGTGCCCCAGCCGCGGTGCTTGTACTCGCCCGCCTTCCTGCGCAGCTCGATCACCTCCGCGTACCAGGGCTTCTGCGGCTGCTGCTGCTGCGCCGGCTCGGGCTGCTCGGCCGGCGCCTGCTCGTCCTCGCGCCGCTTCATGAAGCGCCCCTCCACGTACTCGTACTGCGAGAAGGGCCGGAACTTCTTCTTGTACTCCGTCTTGAACTCCTTCCTGCGGGCAACGACGCACAGACGAGGAAAGTTAACGTTAGGGAATATCGCGAAAAACCGCACTTAAAACGGCGTGATAAACAGGCGAGCAACCCGACAGGTGAACTGAAAATCCAAGTGTGTGAATGTCGCACAATTGTGGATTTCCATTCGTATACTTCAGGATACAAGTGTACGAATTTTACTGGAAAATTCACACTTTTCCTGGTATTACATGAGTGCACGAGTCACTCACCTACGAGTTTTTGACATTCAATACACTTGATGGGTTTTTAGTGTGGACTTCCAGTCAGCAACCACCACCAACCTGAGGCGTGTCTTGTCATCCTTGCCGATGTTGTCCTCGCGGATCTTCTCCTCGCCGCGCATGTCGTCGGCGTCGCCGTGGTCCTGGGAGGCCATCAGCGGCTCGGACTCGCCCGCTGCGGCAAAGAGAGCGACGACACGGCCGGGTGAAGCAGGTACGTATGGCGGTGCAGGTGGTGTGCGCCCAGACGTCAGGCTCGGTGTGACTGAGCGCGGGCTGGACCTAGTGGTGCACCACGGGTCGAGGGCGTGTTCCCCGAGGGTGGGATGGAAAAGGGGGGGGGGGGCTTTGATGTCGCCGCACCACACGGAGGCCGTTTGCTTTCTGCTTCGCACCTCGCTCACCGGGAGCACGGCGATGACGCCATCCCCCGCGCCTCGCGAGGGCGACGGAGGTGATGATCACCAAGAGCGAATACACAACCGGGGAAGTTGACACACACCGCGAGTGTGGCGTCGCACCCACAGCGCGGCCGCACACAGCCGGAGAGCAACATCATCGCCTTGTCGGGACTTTGATGCAGAACCTCACCCGGAAAAGCTTTTCGCAACAATAACATAATTTACCTTGTCCCCATTATAATTGACATCCTGAGCCACCACACAACCACACAGGTACTCACCGTCGTCGGTCCTGTCCTGATCGGCGACCCTGGACCGCTGCTGCTCCCGCGCCCGCAGCGCGCCCATGGACAGCGACTTTCTGGGCGCCGTCATGTTCGCCGTCTGCGCCATGCCCGACATCTTGCCGGCGGCGGGCCGGCTGGCCGCGAGCACGGCGTTGTGCACCGCGGCCTCCATCCTGGTCTGCGCCTGCTGCTGCTGCTGCGCCTGCTGCGGCGCGGGCGGCGGCAGCCCCTGGCCCTGCGGCTGCTGCGCGCGCCGCCTGAACTCCTGGCCGCAGCTGTACCGGTCCGAGGCCGACCGGAGCGCGGCCCGCTCCGTGGGGAGCCCGGCCGCGGGCAGGTTGGCGCCCGTGCCCTCGCCCGACCCCGCGGCTACCATCTGCAACAACAACAACAACACATCGGAGTATGAGCACCGCGTTGTACTTCAGCGTGGACAAATATATTTATCAGCGGTGGTTCAATCTAAGTTTTTTCCCCGCATACATTCAATAGTCTTTTAAAAACACCCGCAACCCATAATTTCACTGCAGACTTCAAAAATAGTCAAGGGAAACGAATGCCGAACGATCGGTGTGTATGTGGGCAAGTCTCTGGTCCAGAAGCGCCTGACGGCTGCGAGGTAGGCAGACCCGGCAGACTCGCGAGTCCAACGGGATGCCTGCCCACCGGGCGCCCTCGCTCCTCCCGCCGCCTGCGCTCTGCGCTCTCCGAGAAGCGCCCCGCACGAATTCCGCGCGCTCAGATTTCCATTTGTCTTCCAGTCTCCTCCGCCCCGGCCTCTCCCCCCGCGCACGTCCCAGCACACCAGGCTAGCGACGCTTTTCGCGTTAGCCCCCGCGCTGCTGCTGCTGAGATCGTAATCTCAGTGGGTCAGCTGCGTTTCTCAGACCGTCGCTTCTTTCTCTTTTTTTTAGGGGTGTGTTTTCCGGATCGGTTCCGGAGACAAAACGCTCGTTGTGTACACGGACCGGAGAGAGGAAAGCGAACGGGGGACGAGGCGAGACGTAGGCTATCCTGTGTGCGAGGGTCGCAGGCGGCGGCAGCCTGAAGAGATCCTCCAGCGAGACGAGGTGAGGACGAGAGGCTCCCGGACGGTAACGACCCAGACTCCTCGAGCTACACTCATATGGATTTTTTTTTTTAAAACTCAATTTTCTCGAGCCGATAGGATCTCGAATCCGAGGTATCGTGGCGAGGTAGAAACTGTAGAGTAAGGCCTCACACAAACTAAATCAGCTAGGTAAAAAAGCAAGAACTAAAAAACACAAAACAGAAGATAGTAATATTATATAAATACAACAAGATGGCCGTTTTGCGTCGTCGGAGCGAATGAGTATACAAGCAACCCTGTATTTATGCAAAATTACTCTCTTCTCACCAAACGCAAAGCTAACTTTGACTTTAGGCTTGTTCTATTTTTGTTGTTTTTGTAAAGTTTTTTTTAGGAAGGAAAGGGAAGGGATATTGGATTTAAACATACATGCGGTGCGGAGCTGGCTTGGGCGCCGTCAGGGATGGAAGGCGAATAAGAAATGAGTTGGGAAAACGAGAGAAAAATGCATGGTAGAGTCAGTCAGCAGCAGTCGTCTGCGTGACTTAGGGAAGGGAGGAGGGGGGAGGAAGGGGG